GAGCATCTCTGTTTAGCCACGTGGCGAGATTGCACTGAACGTTCCTGCGAACAGTACCCTCGATACAGCTGTAAACACTAGCAGCGATGTTCTACTTCATCGCCTTCCTGTTTCCTGGCGGCAGCCCAGAGGCAGACCACGGGAAACATGATGGACGAAACTGCTGGCTCGACAGACTCGATGATTTTCCATCAATTCACCGTCGCTATCGCCAGAGGTCATATTTTTTCGACAACGGCTATAATGCCGACAGTGCGCTTTTTGTTGCTGTTGTTGTTGACATGGGATTAGAGATTAGCGCCCCACCATTAACTTCAACAATGGAAGAACGCCACAGTATTCCCATGATGAAAGTGTAAGGAAAACCGGCATTCCAACGGTTGCAAACTTTCCTTCCATACCGTCATCCACATGGTCAGTCAGTACGAAGCTTCTAAGTGCGAGACGGGAATGGCATCACAACACGGACTGGACATCAGCTCTGTTACCCAGTTACCGAAATTATACGTGGAAACAGTTAATGTTTGTCGTATTTATAAGTAAAAAAAGAGAATCTGATCGTCGATGAGTCATTCGCTATTTGAAGAAAATGAATTGCACTCGTGTCTTGCTCGGTTTCTCGTTTAAAATGGTAACAAAGTTGACTCAAAAAGCCAGTCGCTTGGCCGAACCTAATCCCAACATCAAGTGCGATCATGACGAAAATCCTCTGTTTGATAACTGCTTTTAATCGGCGGAATCTACATATCACGGTTAAGTGCAATTGCAATCCTAAATTACTGACCTAGTGCTATGATAGGCAAGGTATAAACGAACAGCTAAGCACTTTCCTTAGTATTCTTCAAACGCTTGAATGCCGCTCTATACTTTCTGGCATAGTAGAAGGTGAAAAACGACCACTTCCATGTCATGAATGACCACACGACCGCCAACCAGTGGTTCTCACCATACACCTGCAACGCGCCCGTGTTCAGAATGATCGCCAGGGATATTGCAGAGGACATTCCGCTGCAGCCGAGCAGCTGCCCAATGCAGCCGAGTAGCATGATTCTTTTCAGGCCTCGTTGCCACTTTTCGAAGTTGCCATATTTCTGCTT